TATGTAGTTACAACAACTCTACTTTTTAAATCCTATTTCTTTAAATATATTTATTATTATTTTTCTTTTTTAGTGTCCTGTTATTCAAATATGCCTATCACCAATTCCACGACATACAACGTACAACATATAAAATTTTCTACGCAAAATACTGAACGGTTAATGGATAGGCCTAAAGTTCTAAGACGTCGAAAAACGCCTTACGTTTGGAAAGATAAATTAAATCCTGTTTTTGACGATAATGATATCGATAATGATGATGAAAGACAGAGCATTAGTACCACAAGTAGTGATAATGACAAAAATAGGGTAGAAAATTTTGTCAATATGGATGAAAAGAATTTGGAAAAAGACAAAAAAATGGGTAAAAGGAGTGAGAATTTTAATGAGAAGAGTGATAATGTTTAATGATTGAAGTAGGTAGCAACTATTTTTCGATATAAAAATATCTCATTTATTATTTATTTTTATTTTTTGATGAATATGTAATGAAACACTTTGATCATGTATATATGTACGTACTGTACCCGTGTTTTTCATATGCATACAGTATTAGTTTTCATCGAAAAAGATTTTCTCGATTAATTAACTCTTAAACATTAAAAAGAATAAATTATAAAAAATATTAATAATTTTAAATAACATACAATTTTAATCAAATTTATAGGAATAACCAAGTTTTATGCTTTAAAGAATGTCTTTAATATCAAATTAGTAAGAAAGACATGCAAGCTCCTGTGATAAATTTTTTACAAAACTTCATTTAATTTCTTAAATACATAATATATAAATATTATTATTTTTCTAATTTATACGTATTATAACTTTATAAATATATAAAGTTTTTTGCTATAAAATTACTTTTTCGAATTATAAATACAGTATAAAATTTTGTTAAATTTAGTTTTACTATTATTTAAAATAAAATTTGAATATATAATTGTTTTTATTGTAAAGTTTTATAAAATAAAAAACTCTAGAAAATTATATTTAATTATTTCCAATCAATTATTAGCTATAAGAAATGTCAAAGTATTATACAATTTACAATTAAAAAAAACTATATAAAAACTAATATTATAAATTATGTTATTGATATCATTATTGGTGGAGTTGAGGGGAGCGAAGTGGAAGCCTTTCAAGCCTTTACTGAATTTTAGGAATGTCCAGCTCCCGCCTCAACTGATCTATATTTTAGGATCAATAACCGGAATTGAACCTAAATTAGGTTCAACAATTGGATACCTGAAATTTGGGTTAAAAATATAGTGGCTGAGTTATTAATGGATAAAAATGGATAACAGTAAAGATAAAAGAACGTACTTACCCAGTTTTTGAGAATTCGTAAAGTGGTTGCGATAGTGTTAATTCTATTATCCACAGTATTGCGTATATTACATCCAATTCGACCTATTAAATATACTAGGGAAGGAAAATTAGGAATCAGTCAGGGTGACCACCAATTTTGCGGGTCACCTGATCAACACACCACCGCAGCCACCTCCAATATAAGTCCCAGGTTCAATCATAACTCAATGATTTAAATGCATGATCATTGTGGCTGCGGTGGTCGTCCTGGCTGATTCGAAAATTAGGAACTGTTAGTTTCCTTTATGCCTTGCTTGGGCAATTACTATATAATTTATGTCACAAGATTAATATTGACACAAGCTGTAATAAATGTACACTTAGAGCGTTCTGAAGCGTAATACCTGGCCGCCCTCGGCCCAACGACCGGCTGGTCGACCCTCGACCCGCACCTAACAGGGGTTAGATCGCCACCCAAGAATTTTTCAAAATTGCATACTAGCCAGATCAGGTGTAACGTAAGAACACAGAATCGGAGCAAAAAATGTAATCGATTAGTTGGTTGATTAGTTGATTAGTTAGTTGTTTATTAGTTGATTAATATATTTTAATATAATTTAAAAAAATTTCTTTAAAATTATTATAATTCTAATTTTAAACTAATTTAATAACAATAACGAATATAAATCTAATAGATTTTATTAAAAACTAATTAATATAGAAACAACTAATAGATTAATAGTTAATCGATTAGTTGGTTAATCGATCAATAGTTGGGTCAAATCGATTTTCGATTCATATCACTAGCCCCTGCGCTTTTGTAGTCGCAATATAGATGATAATTGGAAACGGTCAATAAATGAAGTTTACATTCGTATTCGAAATAATACAAAATTTTTTCGAATCCGAGTTTTTCCGATCTCTCTTTTCTTCGATTCTGGCTTTTTGGATTAATTTCTCTTTTCTTTACATATTATCATACGCTAACGAACCTTGACTCAGCGATGAGATTCGAAACTAAACTCTAGTAGAAAGGTCAGCCCGGCCGACCCGCCCGGGATTTTTTGGCCTCGACCCCGACCTGAAACATTTTCATCGGCCTATATCAACAAGAAAAAAGTGTCGGGGAATAAATTTTACTTGGCGGAAAATATTTTCAGCGGGTCATGTTTATCGTTATATATAGTATGTCCATAATACATAAATATTTCAGTCGCAAATATAATAAACGGAATATAGGTCAATTTTTTAAATGAATGTGATTTAGAACCCTTCGATAGAAAACTAGACGAATACCTTAAAAGCCTTAAAAAGATTAATAGGGGAAGAAATGAGGAAAATAAAAGCAAGCCAATTTCTTAACAGATACCGAAATGCTAGTAAAGACTTTTTTTAGTATAGGTGAAAAATAGTAGCGTGACGATCGTAGGTTTCTTTGGCCTTTCGTTATGGCTCTTTACTAAGCCACAAACCAGTGTTAGAACACAGATAGCCTCTTTGGTTATTTGATGTTCAAGGTTCTTTGCTGATCTAACATGAACCCATTGGGATCGGGTGGCCTCCTTGGTTACCTGATACTCGAATGGGATAGAAATTGAAATACGAGCAAGAATTTTAAGAATTTACTAATTTTCTAATTTTCTGTTCTACGATAGAATCCTAAACCAAATTATGAAATCGCGAGATCCTGGGAAAGAGAACATACATGCAAGCAAGTTCACCTACAAATGATTTTTTTGCAGCTGCCCAGTGTTATACCAATAGTATGAAATTTAATTTATTAAATTTTTATATTTTAATTATTGAATATATTTTTTCTAATAACAAAACCATTACCGGTATTAGGACTTGAATCAAAAAAGGTCAAGGGTAATTAATAACAGAAACGAGTTCACATCAAGATCAATATAATCCAAATCAAAACCTAATCTTACTTAATAATCAAACTTCGATTGAAGAATATGAACCAAGTCAACTTTCGGAATTAACAGATTCAACATCAAAATATATGAAGAATTTAATCTGAATTTAAATCAATTAGTTGAACAAACTTCGAAAGAAAATTATCAGAATCAATCTATTTTACCAATTACGAATCAGCATCAGCATCAAGCGATTTATATTTGTCATGTAACAATGAGTACAGATTTAAATTTCGAATACTGATTCTTACACCTACCGAAGGGTGGGACGAATGAGTACAGATTTAGATTCCGAATACTGGATTCTTGCACCTACCGGAGAATGGGACGCATTAAGTTTTCAATTATCTTGTTAAATAAAAGGTGGCTATCCAAATAACAAAGGGTTTGCTATAAAATATTACAAAGAATGATAATCAAACTAATAACAGAAGTCATAAAAAATTTGTTTGGCATTTAAGAGCAGTTATTATTTTATTAACATTAATTTATTTATCTTTAAGGTAATAAATAGTATCAATTGAATTAATTTACATTAATTCATATTTTTTGAAAGATTTTTTACTTAATATGTTAACGAAGTCTTAACATACGTACAGTACGTGTATTTATGACATCAACTAATAAGCGGAACAGTTAACGTAACAATGAATGGGAAAAATTGGAAACATCAACAAACAAGAAAATCCGCTTCTCAGAAGAACACTGAAAAATAAATAGAATAAATTATGCCGAAAATTCAACAGAGTAAATAATACTAGCAACCTATGAAGTAATATCAAAGATTCTGAAGTATGTAAAATATTGTTAGTCAATATTTCCTGTTTCAATTATCTCTGATTTTCAACATCTAGGTTTGCGATGATGATTTTATTTCGAGTTTTAAAGCGATAAATATTGATGACAAATGGAGACTTCCTTCAGAAAGATTTGTAAATGAAGATGTTTTATACGATTGGGCAGTAACTCACCATTCTGAAACGTAGATATACTATACTCATTGCATTAATTATATATATTGGCTACTAGATATACATGTAATGACTAATCATTTCTTTGTCTAAATTTTTCATTAAGACCCGCACATTCTTTTATATTAGATACTGACTGACTGTCAAGAGATTATGGATCTATTTAGTCCTGAGGAAAAGATTATTTTAAATGCTAATTAAAGTCATTTCCAACCGTACAAGATGATATAAAAAATCCGTCATGAAATATTACAAATAAGCTCACAACCTGAGCTCGTGCCTGTGTCTAAAAAAATTTTGGCACAGACATGGGCACAAAAACTTGGTCTTAACCTGCCAAACACTTTGTAAGACAGTGTTGTCGTTGGACAACCTTTGAACATAATTTTGGACATCTTGGATATTTTGAACAAAAAAAATAAACTCCCAGTTTTTATTAAGATGACCTATTTAAACATCCTAAGCAAAAATGTTTAAAATTAAACGAATATAATCATATAATTTTTATTTCAATTACTAAAATATTTAAGGCTATGGACCTTAGAAACTTGGACGTTTGGACGTTGGACAAGTCCAAAAAAGCTTCACTATTTGGACATGCCAAAACGTACAACACTGCCTATAGACATGAAAGACACTGTCTTAAATTAGACAGCCTGGCGCTTTTATATATAGAGCACAAAATGCTTGGCTCAAAAGTACCAGGCATTTTTAAGAGCACAGACACAAAATACCTGGAATATTTGTGTCATGGCACATACCCAATGTGTTTCAAAAAAACGCTACTCGGGTCACCTGGGTCATCGAGTGACCCGAGTAAAAGATCTGAACAAAATTTTCAATAACCGTTAACAAAATTTTTTTTTTTTTTTTTTTTTTTTTTTTTTTTTTTTTTTATAATACTGTAATATTATACCGTTTCTGTGGATCTGGAATTCATACACAGCTTTGCAAATTCAAAATAGCAATTGGGAGTTTCAGGTGCCAATTCTGGACGTACTCCTGTACAAATTCTTACAGCAAATGTAGTATCAATTTCATGACCATCAAAGGCCTTTGGAAAGTTGACATTTCGGCCGTAATAACACCGAAGCCATAAATATCAGCTGTTTGCGAAACTTTTATTGTTTGGTAAAACTTCTGAGTACCAATGGGTCATACGGGTGACCCGCAGATTAAATTTTACTGAACGGTCCTAGCGATAATATCCTTAATAATGTGAAACTTGTATCAACAAATTCTTGAAAAAAAAAAACTTTTAATAAGATATAATTATTATGCCTTTTCGGAGTTTTTCAAGAATTAGTATATATAAGTTTCACATTGTTAAAGATTTCATCGCCAGACATTTGAAAGTACTATATCGGATAAAGACAAATTATTTTGTAAAGTAGTCTTAAATTCTTAAGAACCACTACGAAGACCCATATATAATTATCCCAGAGCATTTTCGAGAATTGGGTTTTATAGAATAAATTTAAACCTCTAAATGTTCCGTGATTATTTCATGTACGTACAGTATGCATAATAACACATAATTAAATAAATCCCTTTTTTTCGATATACGCATGCACAAGAGACAAATAAATTCGGACAACTAATTACATCTTCTACAAAGCTTCATTTTTGCAAGATATTAGTTACAGAATTTTCTCTCTTCAAAGTGAATATGGATCGGAACTTAATTTGTTAACATTTTATTTATCATGACCTGATTCATTTTTATTGCACGTGCATTTATATAAAACTTCTATATGCACGTGAGAAGTCATTTCTGACTCATCGAGTCATGTGCGCGACTAAAATCTTTCAGCCAGTAATCTTTCACATCTTCGAAGACGTAATTTATACTTTCAGAATATGCGACTTCTGCAATAATATTTGGCCATGGTTTCCTCTAAAATCATGAAATGTAAAACTTTATGTTAAAAGGCTCAAAGCCAATAGATAAAACAAAAGATACTTTTTCATCACTTCTGGTTGGTGCAGGCACTCTTGATTTCATTGGACGAAATGAGGCGTCAACCTCTTTTCTAGAACGATCAGCACGAGTTCCTTTAAAGAAAGAAAATTACTTTGATACCATGGAATAGAACTGAAATAGTTAATAATTGATGCTTACGAGTGGCTCCTAAGTTGAAATACCAGCTTCTGTTCCTTTAACAGGAATGCATTTCTCAACCATATCTTCAGTAATTGCGCCAATACAAGTTTTATGTGGCTCTAATGGAAGTTCATAAATCGAGACTTTATAATTTGTCCATTCCCATAAACCATGAATGTTAAACTTGTCGGTGCGAATTTCGTACTCGTCCAAGTCACACCCTCAGCGAGTAATCAGCCAAAATTAGTCTTGCTCATATATAACCAGCTCACCATGAAAAACTTACGTGAAAAACTTACGTAGCTTGCCCATCACTAGTGTAATCGGTTCTGACATTAATAACTGGAAGGTTAGCAAAAAGAATAAGTACCAGTTGAACATAATTATCTACTCACGCTGTCGTAATAGGGCTTTGTACTCTGTTATTACAATTATATCTACTAATATTTTTGGAAAAGGTGGTTTTAGTCACACTTCCCGTACTTTCTTCTTAATTATCTATAAAGACTTCCGTTATCGGCATACTAAATTACCATCAAGTATTCATTTGATTTTGTATCTTGGGTTGTTCCATATATTTTAAACTATCGTATGTTCTTTAGAATTTAGTTCAATAAAACTGTTAGATAGTTACACATTCAAATTGTTTTCCTTAGAACTGGGTAAAGTCTTGAGTGCAATGATATTGGATGATTAAAAGTGCTCTTACATGCTGTAATTATATTTATCACCATTACCTAATGCCCTTTAAATCATTTATCGCAACCTGGTTAGATGGCATGCGAAAAATCGTGGTAAATAAGTATTTATTGTTCATAATTTAAATTCATCGTTTTAATAACGATAAATAATCTTTATACTCGGATACTTTTGAAGGTATTTGATAAATAAATATTTATGATCATGATTTTAATTTTAAGATTAATAAATAATTATATTTACAAACTAAATTAACATAAAGAATGTGTGCTTGCAAATTAACATGTATATTAATTACATTCTTAGCTAACTTCCTAATAATTTAAATTTATAAATTCTACTCCAATTCCGTAATACAGTAGTAGCAAATAATAGTTTTAAAGATCCTATTACTGTACGTAGAATTATTATTAATTTAAACTGATTTGGTAATATTCAAATACTTAGTATATTTGTCATTTCAACACTAATCTCATTAATCATAACTGCTAAATTTTTTAAGTAAATGAATGTCTTATACCCGTTTACTTTTGCTTTTCATAGTAAGTTTATTACTTCTCAATAAAAAAAAAATTTGTATTACTATTTACAGAATTAAAATTTTAGCGTTAGCGTTAGGATTGTCTAAATTTCATTGTATATAAGTCCACAAAAATTTATAGAATTGGTTTTCATATCGCGGAATGGTAATCCGTGACGCGGGCGCACGGTTTTTTTTTAAAAAAAAAAATAATGGTAAAAAAAAAAAACTTTTTAAAGCTTATCGTTTGATTATCTACACTGATGGATCATCGGTACTGTATAGAAAAAAAAATCGAATATGTACCGTTCCTGATAGAATCCTAAAAACTACATTACTATCAATGTATAAAAACCATAGCGCAAAAATTTGATGCTCAATAATGACTGCATAATCCAATTGAATGATCAATATTCGAGGAACAACAAAAGATTTTAAATAACTGCAATTATTTTTCAGTCATAATAAAAGTTTTTAGCATAAAATTCAGATATATAGATCCTTATTTATTATCTTGAGGTAAATTATTAGGTTTACATTGAGATCAACGTTATAAATCAATCAAGAGTCGAGACTTTGGCATCCTTATTATAACTATTCTTTTAAGAACCCTATCGGTAAAGGTAAATCGATTTTTGTTTTTTATCCCGATCCATCAGGAATGGTATTTTGTCTATTGGTTAACTATATATATATAAATTTACAAACTCCGCTTCACTGACGCGGGCGGAATATGAAAACCAATGATATAATTTTATGTGGCCTTATCTGGATTATTAAAAAACATTAAATTCATTATCTGGATTATTAAAAAATATTAAATCCGGATCTATCCAAAATTCGGAATATATAACGATAAATATAATATTAAGGGAGGATATGAGGTTTGTATACGGTAATAATTGGTTCTTCATAGTAAAATGAGGTTTTTATCTGACCAAATTTGTTTTTTTTTTTTTTTACACAAATACGTAATTTATTCGTAGCGGTAGAATAGTTCCGCTAATCTTGATTGTACCCCCAAATTTAAAAGGTGTTTGAGGCGCATCATAATTTAACACGGTTATATATAATATATAATATTTATAAATTTAATGATTGGTTCGTCGATATTTATCCTATATTATAATTAAATATATAAAAAACGTCAAATGATTCATATAATCACATGATGGAGGCGGATCTCTTTAAATTCGAAGCGATGTCCGAGTTCTGAGAACCAAAACCGCGGCCTTAGCAATTTTGAGCTAAAACCAAAAACCGAGGTCCCAATTAAATATAGGACACGTGGAACAGGGTAGACCAATGATAATTTTTTAGTCGAACGAAAAAAGTAAATTATTTAAATAATAAACATTTCGTGGGGAAAAAGACTTGTCAATGATAGATTAGAACAATATATGGGACCCCCCCCCCACAGCAAAAGGAAGGGATGGGACAAAAAAAATTTTTTTTTAAAGAATTCATATCTTGAAGAATTAGACTAATTAGAATATAATTAACATAAGTCCCTTTTGTCCAGTACCAATTAGGCAATATTAATGCAATCACATTTTACATATAACTAGTAATAGTTTTACACAGCATCAGTAAATTCGCGCCGAAATGTTTTTATGAACGAACCTTTCTATATAATAGGGGATGAATTGGTCATAAGGACTTTTAATCCCACCAGTTTAGATTTTTATGGTGAATGCAAGTACATACATGTACGTATATACTTCTAATAACCCAGGATTCTATTTGGCGCATTTTTTTTTTTTGATGGATCAATGACGGCATGTACGTTGATGATTATATGACTATGTCAATTATGGAAATGGATGCAGCCTAATTTTAGACCATTTACGGTCTGTTATATTAATAATATATGCTTTGGTAATTTGCATAGAGATAGATAAATGATCTTATTAAAAAAAAAAAAAAAAAGTATATGGCGTCATAGAAGCACCCGAAAATCAATGCTTATTTCTTTTATGCTAAGAATTATTATACGTATAAAAATTAATGATTTGATGCACAGTTATCTATATATATAATATACAGCCATTGAATTTTAAAAAATCGTAAAAATCAAAATTTTTTAAGAACGCTAATTCATTCTTTGAATCAAACTTATATAATAATTACTCGAACCTCTCTAAAAGTAAGCAATTATAAGCTAATTCACCTTTTTTTATTAAATAAAAAAGCCTCAAATGTCAATACAACCCCAATCAACGCTAGAGTCTAGTAAAGAATCATCTAATAGTATATCTTTTGATCCCACTATCGTTGCCACTAATTCCACTACATCGCCTCAAAATCAACCAATATTGAATCGTCGACCCACAAAATCTACATTCAACTGTCCCACACCAAATGAAAAGCGACCACGGTTGTCAAGCGGTTTAAGTAGTTTTCTTAATAGACGAAGATCAGAGTATTATGATGATAATGATGAATTTCACGATGGTTGTTGTGGATCTGTCCGTTTTATTGGGGCAGAAATTAAATATTGGTTTAAAGGACTTTTAAGAAAATCAGGAAAGAAAGATAATAAAGAGAAAGAAGAATGGAAATTAAGAGCTGAAACTTTGGACAATAATAATATTCGTAATAACGACAATAACCATAATAACGATAGTAATTAATATGAGAGGTTCATACAAAATATATTTATAAATAAGTTTATATTTTTATTTTTAATTAAGATTACATATAAGCATTTCATTAAAAATCTTGGTGTACTCGGAAATCCGATCATTTTATTTTATTTTATTTTTATAAAGAATATAATAATAAAAATAAACTTCATATATCTGTATTTCTAATTAATTATAACTGATCGACCTAATTAACCGTATTAAGTTTCAGCCATCAGTCGCCGTATTTACTGACACGGGGACTATGTTTTAATACGGGGTGTAGAGATTCAGTACTGTATGTTTCGTAATTTGTGTGTGTGAAATTCGACGTTCTCGATGTTCTCTGAGAACATAAAAATTCTAGGTTACACATATGTGAGAACATAAAAAATTTCTAAATCTATTATATAACTTAGATGTTCTTGTGAGAACATAAAATTAAATTTGAATTTCACACACTGACAATAATATAACTTATATAGTAATACTAGTCTGTACTGAAGAAAATGCACTTATCTAAAAATAGATTATTATGAAATTCATAATAATCTATTTTTAGATAGGTACGTTTTCTTTGGCGACACTCATCGTAATTTTTTATAAAAGAAAACCTGTAAAATCAATTCACTAACGATAAACGATAAACGACCCTGAAATACGTATATTATTATTTAATAAATATTAATATCATTTGATTCTTCAGGGGTTGGTGAATCAATTCACAGTCTTTTGATTAATTAATATTTACTTTACCAAAATTGGCACCCATACATAACTAATTATATTCTTTTCGATAAAACATTTATGAAAATAAAATATATGCATTAAATTTATTAAAATATTTGTTTTTTAAATTAGCATTACTAATAATATTTAAGTAATTCCTTTTTTTTTGTTGCACTTCAAGTTTCCTGTTTTCCCATTCAATATAATTTTGTTGTTCTTGTTTTGTAGGAATAGTAGTATAAGATAATGTTTGAATTAATTATTAAATTTAAAAAATTTACTTATGATTTCTTTTGTATTATGAGTTAAACATGCTAATTCTGATTTGTTTTTATAAGAATCTTGTACATTGTATTGTTCATATGTTTTTGCTATATGCCATTACCATTAGTCAAAATTATCTCTACTAAATTATAATTAAATTAGTATTAGTTATAGTTGCCGGGGAATTAATTTTCGAAAAAAATGCAATTACGGCACTGAACCAAGATTTTGTCGTATTGCCGTATTCCATAATGCCGTAATCAGTGTTATAAATTCAAAAAAATTTTATTGGCGCAAATGCAAAAAAAAAAAAAAAAATATGCACAAAGAAAAAATTTATACGCGCGTTATATATACAGGAAGCACAGATATATGCGCAATTTTAAATCTATGTACACTGGCCGTATAAACTTATAGTACTCATATGTGCGAAAATCTCCAATTTTACGTTTTTTTGTGATTATTTGACTTGAATCATATGTTGAGTATCGCTAAGGGAAACCAGATTTCAGGATTACAGGTTTATTTCTTGTCGAACTTAATTACTATAAACTCTGATATACTTGACTGATAAATAAACTTCAAAGCCCGAAGTCTGATTTCTCTCACAAATTTAAGAGGGCTGTGTTACGAAAATTTACATTTCAAATTATTTTTTACTTAAAGCTTCCGTAACTTAGATTTCATAAATTTTCTTATGATGAATAAATTAACTGCATTAGACTATCGCTAAGGATTATTTGTTAATTCGAATCCAGATTAATTTTATTATCGGGATCTCTATATTTTTATTTGACAGTCCAGAATTTATATAGTGCTTTGCAAAAAGGTGTGACTCCCATGATTTTTGTGATAATATCGGGGAAAATTTTTTAATAGAGAATCTAAATAAAAATTTAACCGATTTCCAAGTATGATTGCAAATTAGTACTAGGGATTGAAACCGCCTAGAATTTTTTTAATCGTTTAATCGTATTAACCGTTTAACTCAGCTGGCATTAAGATAACCTTTGCTCATAATCAACATAATTCGGCCCGAATTTATGGAACAATTTTTATGCGGTTAAACGGTTCCAATCCTTAATTAGTACATGATTCTTTATTAAATTCTCTTAGATTCTCTGTTAAAAATTTTCCTCAAATCATCACAAAAATCTTGGGGTCACACCTTTTTGCAAATAGTGATAAATTTATTCTGAAATCTTGAGGCTGTGAATATTATGATTGTCAAAAATATTTATGAAACTGTTATTAAAATTATTGGAATATTTATATTAGTTTAGCTATTATATTTACAGCTTACAGCATTATGAATATTACGGCATTTAACTAATTAATTAGGTAAAAAAAAAAAAAAAAAAAAAAAAAAAAAGGATTATTTCAATGTGTATAAGTACGTACGTATACGGGTACGTATCATAAATTACAAATATATATATATAATGTTTTTTTACAATTTAAAATAATAATAAAGTTTGTTTCATAGTTTATCTTAAGATTTATCTGTTATTGTAACCAAGTTTTAAGTTAAATGTTAATATGCTTTTGAGGAATATATTTTTTTCTCAGATATGCTAATCAGGCTAAGGTTTTAGTTAAAACAGTAATAGATGATTATTAGTTATTTAACAGTTAAGTACGTAGGGATATTACTACGTATTTAAGACTTTTCAAGATTTGTCGATCATTTTATTATAGTAATTTATTATAAAAATCACGTATCTTTAAAACGTTCTAACTTCCGTT